CCTTCCAAGTAGCTGGAACTACAGGCATGCGCTACCACGCCCAGCTAATTTTTTGATTTACTGTAGAGATGAGGTCTCGCCAAGTTGCCCAGGCGGGTCTCGAACCCACAGGCTCGGACAATCCACTTACCTCAGCCTCCCAAAGCGCGGGATTACAGGCTGAGCCACCGAGCCCGGCTCAGCCCTACCCTTTTACTTCTGGGCAAGGGAAGGAGACTGGAGATTGAATTGATTATCAGTGGCCAATGGTTTAATTAACCATGCCTACGTAATGAGACTGCCATACAAACTCCTAAATGATGGAGTTTGGGTAGCTTTCAAATTGATGAACACACCTACATGCCAGGAAGGTAGTGTACCCCAGCTCTGTGGGGACAGAGGCTCCTGTGCTCAGGACCCTTCCAGACACCTTAGTAACTCTTCATCTGAATGTTCATTTGTGTTCTTTAAAGTAAACTATAGTATTTTCCTGAATTCTGCAAATTGTTCTAGTAAATCATGGAACCGAAAGGAGGGAGCTTGTGGGAACTCTCAACTCTGTAGCTAAGTAAGGCAGAAGTGTAAGTGGCCTGGAAACTGGATATTTGGTAAACCAGTGCCTGAACCCTTTAAACCCAGTAGAGTCTAACAAGACTCTGGGTAGTTCATGTCTGAATTGAATTGAATTGAATTGTAAGATACCCATATGATGTCAGGATTGGTTGGTGTCAAGAGGAAAAAAAAACCAAAAGCCTTGTTAGTTTTTCTAGAAAATTATAGAAAGTTAATTTTTAATAAGTTTCTATAATATATACTCCTGGGCTTTAAAAAGTATATGTATAATTAAATATAGAGAGTTTATTCTTCATACATTAAATATCATCAGTATTGGTGTTTTCTGACATACATAGGCTTTTCCTATGTGACTGTTAAAATATATGTATATTATGACAAAAAAGTATTACCAGGTATGGTGGCACATGCCTGTGGTCCCAGGTACTCTGGAGACTGAGGCATAAGGATAGCTTTTGTACAGGAGTTGGAGGCTATAGTGAGCTATGATCACACATGTGAATAGCCACTGCGCTCTGTCTGGCAACATAGCCAGACCTCATCTCTTTTTTAAAAAAAGTACTATAACTAGGTTTATGTTATTTTATTTTATTTATTTTTTTTAAGTTGGAGTCTCACTCTGTCGCCCAGACTGGAGTGCAGTGGGCCGCTCCTGGCCACCGCAGCCTCGACCTGCTGGGCTCCGGCGATCCTTCAGCCTCAGCCTTCCGCGTAGCCGGAATTACAGGCATGTGCTACCACGCCTGGCTGATTTTTTGATTTATTGTAGAGATGAGGTCTTGCCAAGTT